AGCAAAGGAAGGGGTAAGGAAAGGAAGGGGCAAGACTAGCCCCTCACTTTCCCTTTCTCCCCCCCCCTTTCTCTTATCTCTTCTCTTCTTCCTCTCTCTTTCTCCCTCTTCTTTCCAACCGTATCCTTGGGTTGAGTGTATGCCGCATCTGATCCGTGCGCACTTTGCTTGAACTCTGTATCTGATTGGTCATAAACACTGCGCTCACACGCTGTATCTGAGGGTCGTGACCAAACTGCGTGTTTGCACGCACTTGAGAGTTGAAACCGAACTATGTCTGTGTACGCTGTATTTAAGGGCAATTTTTGACCGTGAACAAAACCGATTTTTGAGACTGTTAGCGCAGTCACTCTGAGAACAGAGCCTGCCAGTACAGTCACCTCGAGAACAGGGTCGATTTTGATACTGCCAGTACAGTCACCTCGAGAACAAAGCCGATTTTGAGACTGCCACTCTGAGAACAGAGCCGTTTTTTAGGCTGCTCGTACAGCCATACTGAACACCGAACCGATTTTAATACTGTATGTACAGTCACATCGATTTTGAGAATGTCTGCGAAGTCCAACTAAACATCTCGATCAATTATTAAGTCTGTCAGCCATGCTTCGAGGCTATTCGCGGCATGCGCACCATACAAGAGAATAATATTTGAGCATTTCCCGAGTTTGCAGTTGTGTGCCAAAGCGCGCCCCATCAGAAGATCAATTCACAGTACACAGTGTAAACTGAGGGCCATATTTGACCTGTGTGCCAGCGCGCACCGAGACTAAGGGCTGTGTGCCACCGCTCGTCGAAACTGAGGGCCATACTTGATCTGTGCGCCAGCGCGCACCAAAACTGAGGGCCATACTTGATCTGTGCGCCAGCGCGCACCGAAACTGAGAGCCGTATTTGATCTGTGCGCCAGTGCGCACCGAAATTGAGGGCCATGCTTGATCTGTGCGCCAGCGCGCACCGAAACCGAGAGTCGTATCTGATCTGTGCGCCAGCGTGCACCGAAACTGAGGGCCGTATTTGACATGTGTGCCAGCGCGCACCGAGACTAAGGGTTGTGTGCCACCGCGCGTCGAAACTGAGGGCCATACTTGATCTGTGCGCCAGCGCGCACCGAAACTGAGGGCCATACTTGATCTGTGCGCCAGCGCACCGAAACTGAGAGTCG